CTTTCCTGTTCATCATTGATGAACAGTTTTGATTTGTCTTCGGGTTTCTAGTGTGTCGTTGTTTTGTGATATTGTTTTAAGTCTTGGTACTACTGTTTGTTTGGTGATGATGACGATGATGATGATCAATGTTATTGTCAGTACTGTTTTCAATAGAAGTATTCGGAGTATCGGCAGGACCATTGCGCAGTATGAGCATGCTCATGAGCATTGCTATTATTTGGATTATGGCATCGCTGTTGCACTTGTTAATAGTGCTACTTTGTTCATACTTCTGGAAGCTTACTGCTTACTTGCCAACTACGCAACCCTATAAACCCTAAACCCTAAACCCGTACACAATTGTTGGAGCTGCATCTTGAAGTTGAAACCCACACCTATTCCTCTGTTGTGTACCACCAGGATATATGAAGCTAGCCATAAGACCTCGGGATAAGCTGATGGAGGGCATCTTCTGCTTAACCCAAACACCTAAATCCGTGACCCTCTGTGCCCTGAGCCGTAAGGCTTTCGGGCATATCCTCTGAGGACCTTTAAGCCCTTTGGAACCGTGAACTCTACACGGGGTTTCCGAGAGCCCAACCTCCAATAACCGAGATACTTTGCAGTAAGACCTGCCTACGACTTAACCCTGCAGCCTAAACCGTGGTTGCCTTGAAGAGTTCTTCAGTTCGAGCTCTCTTCATCCTACACCCGAAAGCAAAGCACCCTGCAGAGTCAGCAAAGCCAGCGAGAATCCAACAGCTGTCGAGTCGTTTCATAGGTGCCCTAAGCAAAACCTAAAGCCCACCGCAAGGGTTGATACAGAGTGTTCGGCCAGGGGGTAAGGTTTATTCATCCTTCACCCAGAGGGTCCATAGATACTACCATTATGGAATTATCGGTCCCAAAAGACCATCCCTCTTATGGTTTTGGGGACCCAGTTCCTTAATGCTAGTGTATATGGACCCTCTGGGTAAGAGAGCATTGACCCTAAACCCTCTACCTCAACCCTAAACCCTAAACCCCTAAACCCTAAACCCTAAACCCTAAACCCCTAAACCCTAAACCCTAAGCCCAAATTGAGGCGCCGTGTGCCTTCAGCGGCTGCTGGAAACTGGCGAGGACTTTGCAGGGCGGTCTCTGGAGGAGCTCGGGAGTTGACGATATGTTAGGGGCCTTCGTAATTGGAATAGGGTTTTGGGGGTTCCTTTAAAGGGTTCCTTAAAAGGTTCTAGAAGGGCTACTGTAAGGGGTTTGGGTTTGGGGGCCTTCATAATTCGAATATGGTTTTGGTGCGTTTTACACACTAAACACAATAAGGAGCCCCCAAGATAGTATAGGTAATGATCTAGGCCCCTACACTAGGGTTTGAGGTCTGACAAAAAGACGTCAAGGGTCTTTAGGGTTAAGGGGGTTTTTGATTTACTGTTGAGGGTTTAGGGTTTAGGGTTTAGGAGGGTCTTTAGGCGTGGTTCTGCGGGTCTTCAGGAGCTCATCGATGGGGAGGAAGCCCGAACGAAGCTCATTGTCTCGCAACTGGCAGCTGGTGATGACCACAGCAGTGGTGCCGGGGATGAAGGTAATGGCATCGGTGATGCTGATGATGTATGGCGGATGATGAGCAGTGACGAGGTAGTGATGCTGGTGCCGGTGGTAATTTTGGACCAACAATGAGAAGGGCAGGAGGTGGATGAGGAGGACGGTAGATCGTGTGAGTTTCTCCTTGGATGTCCTGCTTGCTGTTCATGTTACATGTGCGAATCTGATCAAGTGTCCTGTAGCCCAATCTGTTTTCTATTCTGAACACAGCGAGAGAGCGAGCCAGAGAGAGAGACAGAGAGAGAGAGAGTGAATCAATCGAGTGGAGTGAAGTGGGGCGGGGTGGGGCGGGGTGGGGGTGGGGTGGGTAATTTCTGGCTTGTGTGGTTGTTCGATTCTATACAATCTTTTGACGAGGTTTAACAAGGTTGGGGACCGCTGCACCCAGGCCATAAACCTGAACAGCACGCTGCACATAAACCCTGGACCCGAAGCCCCAAACACGACTCAATCCTAATTCCGTCCTTTTTCACTCACACCGTCCAATATCCCGTAACTAACGTGCACATACATTGAAACACGGAGAGGTCTGTACTATGATGTTATGTTTAAGGTTAGATATTGCTTAGCACTGAGGGTTCATATCCCTGCACAAATATGCCACCATAAAGATCCTTTTTGTTGCAATCTCAAATCCGAGACCTGAATCCCTGCACCCAAACCTGAAACCCCAGCCGTCCAAGAATCCTGAGCCGAAAACCCTAAACCCTAAACCCTATAAGTCTCAGGTTCCGGCGATCGTTGACTCCGCAGAACGCTGGCTCCACGCAGACGTTGCAGACCGCGCCCCCGTGCCTGCGGGTGCCTCTGAAAGCTCCATCTGGCCGCGTCGTGTCTTGGTTGCAGCAAGGGCGTGTGTATACGCATATATACATACATATGTGTATTTATGTATATATTTATATAATATAATATAATATAAT